GTGTTCAGAGACCGTTCCATAGTTTAATGTGAGGTACAGATGAATATTTAAGTCATTAAATACAAGTTCCATACAATACTCTTCTCTCCACTGTGGCTGTCTGATCCTCCATTCAGCGTTCAAACTGCGTGTCGCGTTCAGTTATGGCAGACAAGACGATGAAACTCTCTTCAAGATGATTCAATGTTCCTATTATTATACTTGATCTGTGGATAAAGATCAGTGGTTTTGTATAAAAGGACTTTATCTTGCTGGAGTTTCGTGCTGTTTCTAAAGCATGTTACTTTCTACTGGGTGTCTGTTAGATCACAGGACTGGAGTAGAGAGCACTATGAATTGTTCTTCATGCGCACAGCAACACTGAAATTTAAAACTGTTAAAACAAAAAGGCTCAATAAACTATTGCACAGATATACACTACGCATCAATATCTCTTCCCTTTGTGCTTTGAACTTTTCTATGTGGAGCGCTGCACTGTGACTGTTGCTTCTGCGCACTGGATGCGCATAAGCGCTTTGTGCCGCTCCGTATTGGATCCTTTCATGTTACAGTGTTATACTTTTGTGCAATGAAACATCATTAATAGCCTTTCTTGTTGTCTTATCCATCATATGTTGCTGCCTCATTACTGTGCTATACATTTAAAAGAAATGCCTTTTAATTTACTATTTTTTGTTATATATATTATTATTATTATTATTATTATATATTATATATATTATTAACAAAGAGCAATGTTTAACATTTTACCAGATTTAGCCCTACACTTACTCACTTTTATTATTATTTTTTTTTCACTAAATGTTTAGATTTGATCAAATTATTGTTCACTCATGATTTTTCTAGAGTAACTTTTGCTTCTGAATTATCCACCAACCTAGTTTATAGTAGTATTTGTGTCATATAGGATGATTATATATTTAGTTATTTGTTGTTTTTCTTTACAATGAAGTCGTCTATATGTGGTAGATTCTGTTTAACACACAAGAGTGATGATCAGGTCAACACATTGAGGTATAGAAACACTGATTTATAAAAAAAAACTGATTGATCAAAAAAAACTGTTATCAGATCAGTATCGGTATCGGCCGATACTCAGAATTTCTGGTATTGGATCGGGATCGGTTCTGAAAAACTGGTATCGAGCCAGCTCTACTTTTTCCCATTGCATATGTTTATCTACAGCAAAAACGCAAACAGCCTCTCCTCCATCTTTCCATCACTGCCGGAGCTGAGAGGAGAACGATCACATGAGCTCTACCATCTTCTTTCCTATTGGCTGTCGCTCCCGAAAGTCGCTCTTCATTTGCATGAAGTTGAAGGATTCTAAACTTCGCGTTGCTGGACAGACCCCATCCAGTCGCCAATGATCCATCTTTGTCGCTCGTGTTGCCGGAAATCGCCAGGGGCCCGTTTCAATAAGGAGGTTCAACCAACTCTGAGTTGACTTACCCTGAGATGGGAAACTGAATTTTTGGTTTCAGAACAGCTAAATTGTGTTAGTTCAGTCGACCCTGAGTAGGTTGACTCTTGAGTTTAGCGCGTGCACCACGACTATGAGAAGTCATGATCAGTGGAGCTCTGAAATTATGATTCACCATGGCAACAGCACAGACAAAAAAACCTCTGCATACTTCCGAATCAATAAATAACTTGAATTCTTAATCACTGTTATTATATCAGAGGTGAAAACTGTAAAATTATTTAACTAATATTAATTTTCATGGTATCCCACGGCAACAAAAAAAAAGAACGTAGCAGCATCTAAAAAAGTTTATTATAAAAACACAATTCACATGACTTTACAAACATTTGACATTAAATATCATTCAGTGTCTATTTCAATGCGCAGCAGGTTTTTCCACATAGTTTAATGCTCTTTTCACATAGGCTTATTAAATATTCTCTAATCAAACCTGTTACATTTCTTAATTAGAATAATTAAATTAACAACTGACTTGTAGGCTACTCAGTTGACATGAAGCATGAAGGCAAAGGCTTGCAAAATGGGGGAAGAACCTGCACCAGCACCACTGAAAGATGAAGAGGAGATGGTCAAGTAGAAGAATTTTAAAATCCAAAAGGAGAAAGAATAGCTGTTGATTTTGTATTTGTAGAAAATAAAGATGACCAAATAAATTGTGAATAATTTGTGTTTATTTAGCAGCTGTCATTTATCAGATTAGCCTCATTTAAACCAATTTCTACACCACTGACCTACAGTCCAGTGAAACTCCTCTTTGAGGGATTTGTGCCCAGGAAACAATTCTCAGAAACAGTGTGAGAGCGACGTACACTTCCCTTATCAGTCTGCATACAGCGGTCTTACTAATGTGCTCTGTATCTCCAATGTTTTATAGAAAACTACCATTTAAAATAATACTGTTCAAATAAATATGCATGAGAATATGGCAACATCAAAAAAAACTCCCTATACATTTATTCAGCCTCCTCGTCTATGGGATCTTGTATTAAAGGAGATGCCATTTTTGTCACTTTGACCGTGTCTGCATGATGAAAATATGTGCAATGAATGAATACATGCACTGCAAAAAAAATTTTTTTTACTTAGAATTTTTGTCTTCTTGTTTCCAGTCAAAATATCGAAATATTCTTAAATCAATATGCATTTTCTACATTAAAAAGACATAAGGTATTTAGCCTTGTTTCCATGGGGAAAAATCATTTGAGTGCATTTTTCTTATTTTGCTATAATTATGTGCCAGTGGGGTAAGAAATAAAAAATATGCTTGTTTCCGTTTGCATTAAGATTATTTTTCTTACCCTATGGCGGACAATTTTACATGTTTTATGTAAAATGCACTTAAATGCACTTGTTTCCCTCAGGAAACAAGGCTAAATATCTTATATCATTTTTCATCTATAGAAATTACATCTTAACGTAAGAATTTGTATATATTTGTACAAACCCAATTCCAAAAAAGTTGGGACACTGTACAAATTGTGAGTAAAAAAGGAATGGAATAATTTACAAATCTCATAAACTTATATTTTATTCACAATAGAATATAGATAACATATCAAATG